GCACTGCCAGCGTCAGTTAATGGGACTGGAGGTTCCAATTCAGTAAACGCACTAGCAACACCAACTTAGGTATGCACCTATCAACCAACCGTTAAAACTGCCTGCACACTTAAGACATTAGGTAAATTTTTCAATACAGATGGAAATTTCAAAAATCGTGAATAGGCTTGTCGTAAAAACTTGCGCTAGGTATATGAAATTGGCTTGTGAATAATGCTTTGCGACAGTGAACCTGAGTGGAAGTTGCAGGTATAATTTGGACCATAGAAGCAAATTTTGAGTTAACTACAACCGTTTGTCTCCATGACGGTGATGTGCAGTAAAGACAGACACTTCCATCTGCATTGTCGATCAATTGCCAAGACGTAAAATTTACGGTTACCCGGTTGCTTTGATGACCGGGCGCGTCTGAGTGCAAGCTTGTCCAAACGGGTTAAATACAAGCTCATTGGAGCTGAAACTCCTCTTTATTTTTTGTGTTTTCTGTTTACAACTTTTTTTGTACACAAACACGCGTTCGTAGTGACTAATCAGTCGACAACATTGTTTGACTAAAAGATGCATTGAAAAGGGATTAAAGAGCCAAACGTCAGTGACGGTATCTGGTTCCGTGAAAAAATGATAACTTTCTTCGAACCTTTCATAAAAATGCCTTCCTGTAAGGCAAGTTTTAAATTTTCCCGGAATAAAGTTTTACCTCATTTTTATTTGTATCCTTGCTTTTTGGGTAGTTAGCAGATTTTCACTTAAGACAAATTAGGTCACGGGTACCTAGTCTGTAGCAATATTTGTTGTGAAGTACATGTACCAATGTATAACTTGAGGAAACAGCGCATTCTACAAGGTGACTTTGAGTGTGCATACAAATCCTATCTTTATGGTATCGTTTTTGATAAATCGTGTGTTGCGCACAACGAAAATTTGGTTAACATTCAAGGCCCTTAATCAGTTAGTGACTTGCCTAATTTTGCCATTTGACTAGACGCAAGCATGTCATTGGGGTCGCCTACAATTTGGTCCATTCGTGGCAGCAATGTTTTTGGGATGCTGGTATCTGCTAAAGATTTAATAAGCTGGTTATTATTTGATTTGCACTAGTAGTCTGGCACCATGATCATGGGATTCACAACTCCTGGATATTCAAGCCAATTAAATTGTTAAGAAGGAACCACTTGTAACCTGACCTATTCGAGATTATGGTTCTTTAAAAATGTGCAATAACAAATGAATAAACGCATTTTTAAACGCTGTGTTGAATTTATTTCACTTAGGGACACTTGAAAGCCTGTACCAAAATCTAGCTGCCAATTCCATTTTGTGCTAAGAGTTCGAGTTCTGATCAGTGGCAAATCATCGTCTGTGCTTGCTAAAAGTTTAAACTGAATTTCTTTAAATTAACAAAAAAGTACTTATCCCATTGCGTACGTTTCTTAGTCCATTTTAACTGACTATGGCTACATTCGGAATGGTTTGCTTATCTTGTGCTGACTTATGGCCTTTCTAATTGGTTGAGTAAATAGCTACACTTCATTTGTTCTTGCATTTACTAAACGTGGTACAACGTCCACGTACTTTGTGTATTCTTACACAGCATAAAGTTATTATAGATGGAGTAAATTGGGCTCAAATATTTATTTTGTAGTTATTAGTGCTAAACAGTCGTCAGAGTAGTAACAGCAGTTAGCCCTACTTTGTTTGGTTGTATATTGAGTGCAAAATATCTTCACGTTATTGTTGGAAAATGCAAATGATGACGCCAATCTTCACCTCTTCTTGACGTGGATGTTGTTGCTGCAGGCAGTGAATTCATCTTTCTTATTTTATTCAATTGTCACTGTCGAGTTGCATTTTAGATTAATCTAAATCTGAGTCAAAGTATGCGCAAATCATCTCATGGACGAATTATAGTTGTCAGCATCATCAGGAGTTTGAAACGATTAAATGGTGACCATGGCACTTTTCTAAAGATTTTCTGGTCATAGTGGCCGATTTTTCGGCTGGACCACAAGTCCGGAAAGTGTAGTGGATTCCCCCTCTGGAATTGAGATAATATTGGCCGAGATGAAGTTAAAACAGACCAAGCACACATTATTAAATGCAGTAAAGCTGGCTTTTGACCTGGGGGCCAATTTACCAGCCCGAATCAAGTCCGTTTTTCAGTTTTTATTGAAATAGTTGATTAAAAAAACGATGCAAGTTTAAAAGGTCGATTTGTGAGTCACAATAACTGCAACCTACCTGCCAGACTAGTTAGACCATTAAAACCTCTCCAGTTGCCAAGATAGCTACAAACCCCATCATAGAACCTTCTTTGTGAATAAAGGAACTGTGATTAGATAATAGTATTTCACTTGTGACTCCACTTATTTCCTAAGCACCTTAGCGCTTGGAGGTGTTAGTAGCATCCAACCAGTTTGCGAGTTTGTGGGCTATAATAGATGGCCAAGTTGGAAGCAAAATTTCTGAGCCATTGTGGCATATTTATTGGGTGTCTGGTCATGCACTCGGTAAGGAAAGCCAAGATCTATTATTGAAGAAATAAACCAGGACAGAAAGTAGTGCCATTGAAGGAAAGTCGTGAGAGCCATCCTTACCGTGACTGTTTCATCTGTTGCTAAAGATAAATTCTTGATGGTGTAACGATATCGCCATGGTACGAGACCACACACAGAACCCAGTGAAAAGTGAGAATATCAGAAGCAGAAAGTCTATAATTTACTCTGATAGCTCGAATGATGTTGGGCTGTTGTGTAAGTGAAGTTTTATATATTTTTTAAATCTTTGTGTCAGGTAGTGAACTAAGTCAAATGAAGAACTGTTATGGTAACGAAGATCATTTACATGTGTATCCAATGTAAGGTTAGTAATCACCTAAGTCCTGTATTCCAAGTAAAAAAAACGGCATATACAGAAATTTAATTCGGGGAAAAGAAACGACTGGACATTTTTTACGGTCATTTTCTTTTTTAACGCAAAACCTGGCGAATGATTTAGTACTGCGTTGCCTGGGAATCACCCACGACTTTAACGTTTGGGATTCTCGTGGAGATATGCTTTTCCTTAGTCGTCACAATTTTTCACAAGAAGCCCTTTTTTGTTACCGAGCAAGCAGTTAAAGGCGGGTATCCATGCTTCGGGACAGAACTTACAAGTTTTTAAATATTTTTCCATTTGGCGAAAAATTTTAATGCAAACGCTATTCCTGTGACTCCTAACTGAGGCCTTGTTGCGTTTGCCTTAAGCCTTCATGCAGTTCCCCATCTTCAAACTTTTGAGTGTCCGAGGTGCCGTTGGTCACCACTTCTAATACGCTTGCACCAATAATGACATCTTTCCCAAGACTCAACGTTGGCATTTAGAACACTACAACTTGAATCGTTTGTTGTAGAAACATTCTTTCCTTGTCTGAATTCGTATAAGATTCAATGCTGAATGTGTCGTTTATCAATTGCCTCAATTAACTCTGCTATTCTGAGAGGTTATATGTCCTGAAACTCTGCGTCCGATCCTATCGAAACCACAAAAGACCAAGAAAATGTTTCCATATTAGACGTTATTTAAAGCTCTTAGAATTAGTCAGAACAATCTAATTTATGCATCAATAAATTAAACTGGCTCACCAATGTACTCGTAATGTCTGCCGCACATTGTGGAGCACTTGAAAGATTTAACTTATTAATGTCACGTTCAGTCCCAACAATTTTAAACACTTCTTTTCATATTAGCATTTATGCGGATTAATAAGCATCATGTAGACTGCTTTAGTCACCGCTCCGTTTTTCCAAGCACTCAATTCAACTAGTGAGAAGAAATTATGTTCCTCTGATAGCTTGTAAAATGTAAAGCCAAAGCCAATTTTCCTATCATTAAAAAGAGCTAGTTTGACAGTTTCACGGAGTTTTCTAGACACAGTCAATCAGTCTGAAGAGAAATAGACGATGACAAGTATCCAGAATATCGTCAAAGGTGAACTGAGAAATCGGCATTTTGGCTCACGTTTTCGACGTAGCTGCTGCATACAACAATCAGCTACACCCCGAAGCGAAGGGGAGGCGAACGGCCAAGGAACACAAATACAAAATAACTCGTTTCATAGTTTGTTTTTTGGTATATTAGTGTATAACCCCATATTCACAGAAGGGATATATAGGGGGAGCGTAAAAACACACTGAGGATTAATGGGGTCAATTAAAATCGACTGCAGTAATACGATAAGGATTGAGCTGGTCGATTTACCACAAGCCCAACAGCCTGTGTAATCACTCTTTTGTAAGTATTTCCATTGCATAATATTCTTTTGCAAGTTATACAAACTGTGCCCTACCTTTTGTGAATCCACCATTATCACAAGCTGTAAGGCTGATAGACGCAACAAGCAATGGTCGAAAGCAACGGCGTAATTTTAGTTCAAAAATTAACTCGTTAAATAATGATTTGTTCGTGATAACGGTAGGTGCTTTTATAGCCCTGGTAATTGGTTTGATAAGCATCTTTTCTTTTCTCTTGTTAACCACAGATATGAGCACAAGCTCTAAAGGCACCATTTCAAACTTGCGTTGTAGACGTGAGAGATTGTCATGTTTCTAGACATCCATTGGTTGAACGTAGCGTATGTCTGTTTCGGGTTGGTGAGTTTCAATTTGTGTCAATCATTTGCAATTTTGACTTGATGTTTTTTTTCTCGGGCGTCATGGTGACCCAGGCTACTGCTAGTGCCTTGTGTTTAGGTTATACGTGTACAAACGAGATAAAGTACCCTGAAACCTCTTCTGAAGTATGCTTTGCTTGGCATCCCAACCAATCCCTCAATCCCCAATTTGTGACCAATCAGCGTCCCACACACACGCAAGCTCAAAACGATTAGGATAGCATGTTCCAGTTGGCACGCACAGACACAAGAAAGCTATATCCCTATGCAGTTGCATGGGCCAACCCTTCATCCATTAATTTAAGTTCGCAAAGTAACTTCCAACTTGTTGGCTGCTCGCCAACGCCCAGTAATGGCAAACGCTAATTCAGGCGGAGTGCCCTCTAGCAGCCCAAACTCAGATGAAAACATTTTTATTTCAGGTGTTGGTAGTGCTGGTGTCTTGATGCTTCCACCAGAAAGGAAAATGTCTAAGTCTTCGCATCTACGCAGTTCACCTTCGTCCACTGTTGCTTTCAGCTCCAAGTTGAGTTGTGACAACCACAATCGACGCCACCTGACTGACACAATATCATCAAAGCGCTCAAGTAAAACATCATTACAACCGAAAGACTTGCCTCATTTACTTGTGGGAACTGATCAAAAAATGCTGCCTCTCCCTCCAGTGCGTGCCAATTCAGCTGACTGGTTTTCACGTTCATTCGATCGCAGCGCTTCTTCTGCCGTCGTTAACGAAAATGTTGCTGCTAGCCCCACGCCGTCCACACCTACATATCGACGTGGTCACGTTTCACCAAATGTTGTAAGGAATTACAATCAATCCCACCCACTCTCGCGTATTTTTCTTGATGCAGTGGAACGAGGCGATAAATCGACTGTTGCTCGCTGCCTTAAATGCGCCAACCCCGTCAACGTCAATTGTACGAACATGCTTGGTAGAACTGCGATTCAGATTGCTGTAGACAACGAAAACTTTGAAATCGTGGAGCTACTGCTCAAAGAACCAAATATTCGTATTGGCGATGCCCTTCTATATGCAGTGCAGGAAGGTGTATATCGCATTGTAGAGATGCTTATTGATCACCATTCTATCACCAAGGAAATGCTGGGTACATCTTGGTCAAAGAGGATCAGCCTCTCGGAAGAGAGCCCTGATTTTTCAGCAGATATTTCACCCATTATTCTTGCTTCCATTTGCAATCAATTTGAAATACTCCAGCTCTTGCTCTCTCGAGGGGCCCACATTGAAAGGCCTCATAGGTCAAATTGCAACTGCAATAACTGTGCAGCAATGTACAAGGAAGACTCATTGAAATACTCGCTGTGGAGAATTAACACCTATCGAGCTTTGGCCAGTCCTGCCTGGATTTCACTTACATCCCCTGACCCAGTTCTGGCAGCATTTAAGCTCTCTTGGGAGTTAAGTAACCTTGCATCAAGGGAAAACGAGTTCAAGGAAGTGTTTATTCAGCTTTCAGACCAGTGCAAAAAGTACGCATGCGACCTCCTCGACCAGTGCCGAAGTACCGAGGAAGTGTTGGCAGTACTCAGTCGCACCTCTGACGACCAAAGTGACGAACGCAGCAAGGAATACGATGAATCAACTAATCAAAAAGGTAGGACAGCCCTGTGCCGTACCACGACTGTAACTCAGAAATATAAAAGACGTTGGTATAGGCCATCTCCGCAGGCGGATAATTCCTTTGAACTAGAGGACCTGGAAGACTGCGATGGACTTACCCGTCTGGAGCATCACAAGCGTTTGGAGAGTCAGTACACTATTATGGAGGACCTAGCCAGTTTAACGAACCACCAAGAACAGGGGTACCACATAGGAGAGAAAGGGCAATCAGAAAGAATGAACGAGAAAATGAAAAATAAAGAATACATGGAAAGTGATATGGATGAGGTCTCTGATGAGGAACAATATGATGAAAGTGGAGAAGACTGTTTTGATGAAAGTGAGAGTGAGGATGTACCCGCTCAACTGAGGCTGGATCGTCTGAAGTTGGCGATTAAGTATGATCAGAAAAGGGTAAGTGGCTAAAATGCGAACATTACCATTGAAATTTGACTTTTATTGTGTATTTTAATCTTGAAATTAGTGAGCACAATTGTAACCAAAGTATTAAAACATGAGAGCAAACATGGTTGTCCTAATTTGTCTATTGAATTTTCGTATAAATATTTTGTTCAACACAGAAGATAGAGCTCAGGGTTTGTTTTTGTGGATCATTGTGGTTAAAGTCCTTTAGTTACGTGATGCTCCGGAAACAGCCTTAATGGATGTTCGCAATCAAAGTAACTTGATTGCCATTTGTGACTTACAAAGCAATTTGCGTGATTTACTGCAATTACCTCAAGTGAAAATTTCGTTTAGGAAGTTGGTCTGATGGATTTAGAAGGATTTGGACCAAGAATTCAGCCTTGTTGCGTCCACGGCCGAAATTGTTACACCAAGCGAAAATCCAACGAGTTCATCCGACGTTTGGTATATAAAATTGACCGTTCAATTGTACTGTCATGTATTTGAAACACTTGAACACTGTTCTTAATTTAAGTGCTTAAGTTCTGAATTTACTCGCATCAGTTCGTGAAGGTTGATTTTGCTAAGTTACGCGCAATGACATCAGGATAGCCAAATGACGAGGTGAATACGCTTTCTTAGTTAACATTCAAGTATCATTCAAATAAGGTGATTTTATTATCTGTGAAGGCCACCCCTTCCTTTATTTTGGGAAATGGTTTGCCTTCATTGCATCGATTGTATAATCTCCTCTCTTGTCCTCACTAAGGGTAACATTTAATCAGCTAACCTAATTACCACCCAGAGGACAATGTTTTGCTCGTGTGATTTTTGTCCTCCAAGTTAACTCGACGTTTTAATCGAAACTTTGTGGAAAGTTATGGCTTTACCAATTCGGAACTCCGCAGCCTGGCAAAAAGCATTTCTGAATGCGGCTGATTTCCGTTAGTATCAACTAGCTGAAAAGTGCCAAATGTGTCAAAAATGGAAATATAATAAGCCTTTACAATTGCAAACCACTCGACTCCACTACTTCGTCTGTTAGATTGTTCCTTTTGATATTCCACTTGCTAGCATAGGACTTTCACACCAAATGCGTGACATAGAAAGGTAATGACGAATATTGTAACAAATTATGCATAGATTTGTGGCAATGCATGCAGCCCTTGACGATACTAAGTGGGTGTACAAGTGATGGGCTTTTGGTCAGGCAAGAGCTCTAGTATAAGGCATTCTGTTTCGCCATTGGTAATAAGTAGATAAGAGTTGGAGAGAGATTGGACCAAGCTATGAAGGGTGTTAAAGACGTATATTCTGTTTTGGCATTGAACTGTAACCTGGTTTCAGATCACTAGCCCCTCTCCAGCAGAGGCTCCTGTATAAAATTGTTTTTAATATTTTAAATGGCAGCATTGGAATTATGCATTAGCTTAAATCCTCATATTCAACCTTTGAAATCATACTTTGAGTAACAGCGTTTATCAAGGATTGCCTTTGTGACTCGAAACGAAATCTGCTCAGTAGTATAAAATGCCTTTGCAAAACAAAGTGGTCTACACCCCTCGAAAACCAAATCTGTGGACCATATTTATTAAACTGTTGGAAATAAACTATCGGAGAAGAAGAAGCGGAATATGGGATGAAAAATGGCTTTTTGGCCACACATACTTGCACTTTTACTACTTCCAGCTTAAACCTCAATTTTTGTGCAAGTTAAATATTTAACCATCTGAATTCCGCATCAAAAGTAGAGTAAAAGGTGACTTTCGTTGTAGGTCTGTCGTAAAATTTGTCACACCTAAAACCCTTCATGATCGCTGCTGCATGTTTTTCTTTTTCTGAGTTAATAATTGTTAATATTGCATCATAAACATACGGGGCTGGTTTCTTATTAATACCAATGGCAGCTATCTAACTTTGTAATTCTGGATTGGACTGCTTTGAAAGATAACTCCCAGGTTACAAGTTGCATATAAATCGGATTTTAAAGGGTATTGTAAATCAACTACTGAAAAACATGCCTCTAGTTGACTAAACAAGGAATCAAGGCAGTTTAGAAAACAGTTTATAGCAGGTGTTGGGGTGTTGACATGCATTAGTGGTTAAATGCTAATTGCACCACTTCTTACAATTTCAGGTAAGCTTGAGTAGGAAAAAGTGAATTTAGAAAACTTTTGTGATAACCACTTGTATATTTGTTTATTTATTGTAGTTAAACCTTAATAGATGGACCGTTTATAAGATACCCAAACAAAATTTAATAACTACATGAGTAAACAAATGTCCGTTTGAGCACAAAGCATGTTCATATCAATACACATAATTACTACTATGCCTGTTGTGGAATGGACATGTTTATAACGCTTACCAGTTGATACCTCTGTACACATATAATTAAAACTGTCTTGACAATCCGCGCCTGGCTATTAATTTAGAACGTTTGATTGTGTACTTTGCAAACTAAAATAAACGCAAGATTACTGCCCTTTTGTGATTTTTTAACTTCAAAGCCCAAATCTGTGGAATTCCAGTGGTACACTACAAAATTGATGTTGTAAAAGCATTTTGCATTTAATGCGCAATCTTAAATTTAAGTGCATCTGTTTAATTCCCTTCTAGTTTTAATATTTTCGAGCAATTTCGGTATAAGTAAATTTAATCAAAGCATTTCGCATCACCAGTTGTTCCAGTTTGGAAATTACACGCAGTACACAAGGTCATATTTAATTCTCATGGGACTTGTACACAAATTAACAACAATGCTTATTTTTAATTTTGCATAATCTTGTTAACTTCCTGTGGTAGTACACTGATTTCAGTTCAATAATCACACATTAAGAATCGTTGGGCCACAACGTTCCTTACCGGAATTAACATGTATTAAATCAATGTACAGTAGCTTTTATAAGTTCAGTTTAAATTTGCGAGCCCCTCACCAAATTTATTTGGTGAAATGCATCAAAAACTAGTCACAAGACAACTCACTTAATGATTGACGAAATTTCGACCTGTAACCGCGTATTGAGAGAAATCAGTTATATTTGGGGCACAATTTGACGTCTTGTTTTAAACAAAATCCTAATCGGCATTGCGTTAAAAATTAACAAATTAGCCTTTCAGAATTTTTTAATTTGAGAATCCTTATACGATTATCGATTACGGTTGACAATGTTACTTTCCTCATGACGTAGAGCCCGGATTTTGGCCTGATATAATAAAAAAATGATTATAATTAAGGAGGTATTTAATGAGTACCTTTTATTTGAAAATCAAACGCTTTGGGGGTATGTTTGGTCAGCCTTCGTTTTTAGATTGCAGTTAAATATATAATTTTTGCAGACTGTTTTCATTAATTCAAAAGCACAATGGTTCTACCATTAGCATTTATCTAATGCTGGTTTTAATTTCTTTGCTAATCAAGTAAAACAAAGAGACTATAATTAGACTAAAATGTCACCACAGTTGGTCACGGGTGTGATATTTCACACCTCATGTTTCAGACAGGCACTAACTATTAAGTTGAAATTTGTTACGTCTGGTTGTTACCCTACTGCCCCACCCTTTTACCATAGCAACTCAGTGGTTCTGGATATATTTATCAAGCTGGACCCAGAAGAGTTCTTGGTAGACAAAATATGAGTGATCTCGTCCCTCACCAAAAACATCTCATGAAAAGCAGGATATCACCACCATGGTTGACCTCCTTGCCACCTGTTCAAAAATTTAAGGGAGACGATCGCATGTGCTTACAAATGCATCTGTCACTATTTCACTTATCGTGCTTTTTAGACATTAATTCAAAATTTTGAATAACATGTGACATGAGTTTGCAGCGCAAATAGTTATTTTAAGTATAAAACATTTTAATACAAATATTTTAATTTTAATTTCATATAACAGTTCATTGCATTCGTGAGACTGCAAAACACTGCAAATGGGTTTTTGAGCATTGACGTATTTGATACTATTTTATTTAAAAAATGAATTTTATGTTATTTTTTCACGTTAAATTTATTTTAGGAGAAAAGTAAATATTTTTTATTTTGAATGAAAAATTTACAAATAGATTCTAAAAGCATATACTTTGATCCTCAAAAACAACTCTGTTGATGACATTATCACTTTAGGATCAGCTACGGCCGAGTTGGTAAACATCCTATACGCCACTGCAAAACCAAACTGCCTTTAAACACACTATTTTGCAATAATGCAGAAACGCCGTGTTATTCACAGCGTGATTTCGTTTTTATCCATGTTTATATTACCATAACTGAACTGAGAAGACTAAACTAAGAAGCATGCATTCAGAGAAGGATTAGGAGGGGACAAACCTTTAGAGTGCACTCTACCCTTTTTATGAACTAAGTTTAATATTACTTCAGATGTTTCTTTGCATGTTGCAGTTCGTGGCTCACCCGCACTGCCAGCATATTCTGACAACCCTCTGGTATGACCAACTGCCAGGCTGGCGGAAACGTCACCCGATCTTGAAGCTGCTCCTTTGCTTCGGTTTTGTCCTTGCCTTGCCTTTCCTGGCAATCATCTACCTGTTCTATCCACGCGGCTCTGTTGCCCGAGTTCTTCGTTCACCTCTCATCAAATTTGTCAACCACAGCGCCTCAATAGCCATCTTTCTTATTCTCCTGCTCATCGCTTCAACAGACGGAGAGTCAGTAAAGTCATTGGAGGTGCGACAGTTGACCAGGGGACCTGATCCCAACTTAATAGAGCTTCTTATCGCCTGGTGGGTTTTTGGTAAGTTTGTGGATAAAGATTTGGGAAAAAAATATTATCCCTCCTTTCCATTCTCCTTCCTCATTAATTTATTGTCAAAGAGAAGGCAACTGAAATATAGTGAGTAACCAGGTGTTGACAGAACCTAATTCTTTCGAGTTGCTTGTATGTTAGCTAACGTTTTGAATTTCAGTCATAATGATTTTGGGGGTCAAAATCTATCCTCTAAGGCTGCTCACCATTGCTATCGTTTAAAGGCATGTCGGTATTTCATAAACGGTTAGTCGTATGGTGAAATAAAGGCCAAGCACCAGCATATGGTTTCCTAATCAACTTACAGTTTTACCGCCTAATCGGTTTTACAAATTCTTGCTAACCCCTTCCTGTCTGAAATGAATTTTGGATATAAACAAGCGATTGTTAAAATACATTAACATAAAAGTAATAGCAAATGATGCTAAAATATATGCCAACAGCAAATTGCAACAGCACTTGCATTAAATTGCTTGAATTTGTAGTGACTTTTTATTCTAACTGACTGACAAATTGACAAGTTTAAGTGCATTTAAGCTTGATGTCAGATTTGGAAATATTAACTTGGCAACTGGTGCTTGGTGAAAAGTACCTTCAGTTTTCAAATATATGAAGTGAAACTCACAAATCCACTTTAGTAACCACAACTACAAGTGCACTTTCGTATAGTCTACCAAAATATGTCTGAATTAAAATATTCACCGTTGACATTTTGCAATGCAGGTACTAAGTGCATTTGTCAGCCTGTCATTTCCTGTTTGATTCTTTGTCTGTCAGAAAACGATTTTGGACGATATGGTTCCTGGATTACTAAGACCAACCTGACAGAAATAGGCCACCCTAGAGTTGAACCACACATTGGTAGTGTTGTTCTGACATAGCACCTCCATTAATCAAAGTTAATGAGAGAATTTGTAATCACCGCAATCGCTTTTGACTATTACGGCTCTTATTTTGTTCCATCATGTTTCTTATCAATAATATGACTCTCTGTTATCAATAGAAAAGCCAAGAGCTGGTTAACTATTCTTCGGGTCTAAAAATGTCAGCTGAGCAAGTATTTTTAAGTCAACTACTTTTCACTGTCCATATTTGTACCTTCTAGTCTACTTTGAAATGCTTTGGTCTCGAAAGTGAAATATGGCCACCAGCCGTAAAAATCGACTTTGAGGTGATTGATCACAGCCCTAATGTACCCATGATTTTTGGACTACACGGAGTTGCTAAAGTATTTTAACGTTGAGAAGTACCATGGGTACTCCAATTCCTGGTTTCAATTAGACACAGGTTCGGATTTCGAAGCAAGGATTTGTCACTTCCTGCTATTACCCATTACACAAACCAACCAAATTTAATCGTCTATCAAGCTTAGTAATTTAGGAAGAAGAGTTGCTGACAAAAGTCATACAACAGAAAACCTGTGATTTTAATTCCAGTAATCATTTTTATTTTAAAAAATAACCAGACTGTTTAATTTTGGTCCGTTTTTAAGAGATGTAATCTATCCTTCAGCCCTAAATTAATTCCATAATGAACACTTGGGACTAGGCATTAAAAAACCTTTAGTAAATATCATGTTTATGAGCAGTTCACAGTACGAAATTGTTCGATTTCCCTCTAGAATCGACTGATCGCACATATTAGCCCCTATTATCCACTATTTCAGTCTTTGAGAAAGTTCAAAATGGGCAGCATGTTTGTGCCCTAAATACTTTTGACTAGGTGGATTTATAGGGGTTAACACAGCCAGTGTGAGGCCCTTTTATTGGTGTAAGTAGATAAAGTGGCCTAATGAGGTAACTTGTGAAAACAGTTACAAGAAGAACAGTCTCAGGGAATGCTGAGTTCCCCGACAGAAGTTGTCATGACAACATTTCGAAAGCTTAATAAAGTGCCTTTTCACTTAACTTACTTAAGTCAACAAACTTTCAGATTACTTTTCAAAACATCTGATTCTGATATCAAGCTGTAGTGAAAACGCAAAATGCCTTCTCCACTAAACTGAGCATAAGACTAAACCGGTATGGATATTGTTTCGTGCTATCTACAAAGATGTGAGTTTTTATTCATTATATGTCTGCTAATTGTATACCAAAACTCATATCGACAATTCATATTAAGTTACAATGCAGGCAAGTTCACATTTGGCATTGTCGAAACAGGCAAGAAACGTTTGCGGATTCGCAAACCCATTGATGTTTTATGTCTGTTTTTTTTCAGCGTGTGGTAACTCATTGCATTCTTTCCTCAATTGCATGTTATCAAATTGACAATTTTGGAAATGAACATAGCCTTGTGGACACTGTAGTCATGACAACAGGTAGCGCCTATGTTTATTACTGTATAGGCTTCGTCTGGAGCGAGATGAAACAGATTTGGGAAGAGGGTTTCAAGGCCTACGTGCGTCAATGGTGGAACTGGCTGGATTTTATCATGTTGACTTTATTTTTGACCACTGTGGGGCTGCGAGTGGTTGGGCTGATCCTACGCAAAACGGGGCGCTATGGGTTTGATCCTACAAGTAGGGAACACTGGCCTTCTAACGATCCGACTCTTCTCTCTGAAGCCTTCTTTGCGATTGCTCATATTTTTTCGTTTGCGCGCATAATTTTTCTTTTCCAGGTGAGCCTTTATTTTTGATGGTAAATCAAACTTTTAATTAAGGCATTAGCCGCCTTGGATCTCTAGTGCGTAGAAACCTGCTTGGTCTACCAACGACACCTGTCTGCAATGTCTGTAAACTTTCAGCTAAATTTGCACTCCCACTCTTTTTGTGCCATTAGTGAGTTCAAGAGTAACCTTAATTATTTCGTTGGAACAGAGACAGTTGCGCAAATGCTAGAGGCAGCAAAGTCTAGAGTTGATCATTTGAATGTTCTAACACGCAGCCTGGTAAACTACTAACATATTTTTAAAAAGAAGCACCGACAACGGACGAACAAACAAAATTATCATTGGTCACGAATGTCTTTTTTCACAACTGGTAATAGAAACCGGTTGAGTTCCCGAGATTTTTGAGATTTTGCCGAAATATTAATATTTCACTTTCAAATGGTCCGCTTAGATTTAGTTACTGGGCGTGTCATCTCACGTACGCACATAGGATACTAAATGAATTAACTTGACAAAATTTAAGTAGGTTTGAAGAAAATCTTTTACCTGTACCGTAAAACGAAAAAATCATTAATGGGAAACCAACAATAATGTCGCCAACATAATTCAAGCCAAATCTTTTCATGACCTTCTATAATATCCTTTTCTTTTTAGGTGAATGAACAGTTAGGACCCTTACAAATATCCTTGGGGAATATGTTGATTGATATAACAAAATTTCTCTTCATATTCCTACTCGTGATAACTTCTTTTGCCTGTGGGCTGCACCAACTCTACTACTACTACATATCTGAAGACAACGATTTGCGACCTGCTGCATTTTCATCGCAAGTTACTCTATGAATTGCTTCTGAATTTAGCCTAAAAAATTACCTTCATGTGAAACGCTTTGTCTCACTTCATTTCATGACTATTCCAATCTGGTCAGGAAAAAAGCTTAGAGACATTGCATATATGTGCCAAAGATAAATCAGTATAACTTTCCACGAAGGAGGTGATCGAATGGACAACGTTAGCCTTCTTGTTATCCGAAGCACATCAAAATTATCGAAAGTAGCAGGGATGAGTATAGTCCAGATTTTTAATTTCAGAAATATACAAAGAGAAACTATTAATGCATAGCACAAAATATTTTACTAAGGGATGGTCCATATCATACTTTTTCTATACATTTATTCATTATGTAATTGTCTTAACGACGAGCATTACACAAGAAACGCTACTGGGTGGGTTCCGAAGACGTCTTTGCCTCGGATTAGAGGCAGGGCGTAATTACGCTAATGAGAAGTAGAACATTTTTGCTCATGCCACTCCAAAGTAAACATTCATTTGGCTATGCTGTTTTAGATATATCACTGTAAGGCGAGGTCTGGATATATGAAAAATCTCATTTTGGGGAACCGTCTCATGGAAAATGCGCTTAGAATGTTAAAGCAATTAAGATGTACATTAGACAGTATATAGCCCACTTCTAGAAATTTAAAAGCTGTGCTTAAGGTCGTATGATTTTCAAACATCATTTGAATTTTAAAGTGAATACTGGGTTCGTGGAACAAAGGGAAACTGCGGGTTGTTTCTAGATTACGCATTTCTTCCTAATCCAAAAGACTATCTTCTATCATCATTATCAAACTCAACATGAAAAGACTCACATCAGCGGCCCACATTCCAGACGAGTCACCGTTATTCCCTTAAGTCATTTTACACTCACAGAGATTCATCATGTGGTTTTTGTTCGGGGCCATCTCATATTTTCTGACTCTTAGACGGTACAAACACTACTTTTAAGCACACTCTATGCTCAAGCTGCAGCCAGCTGAATTTACTAATCCTGCAAGACCACGAGTGTCGACTGTCTCTGGTCATTTTAGGTGGCGGTGCAGTAAACATTCATCCACAATCAGCACAAAACTCGAGTCACAAATTCGCATGTAAACTTACAGATTTCATCCTTGAGCAAAGTGAAATCGTTCACTAGATTTTCTCACATGGATTTTGATTTTGTATTTGTTTCATATTCCAAATTGCACTCTTGAAAAATTGTGTCCTAGTTTTGTCAGACCTTTGCTTTCATTTGGACAGCATCAGAAAAACCATCTGTTATTTAATTCAATCAGTTAATTTATGAATACGGCTTCCGCTTCAACACTCGTAAACTTTTTTTGAAACAAATGTTTAGTACCTTTTCAGTCCAATACATTTACAAATTCAGGATAATACATTTTTTATATTTCATCTTTTGATTTGGAATCTAGCTTCAAATAACCTCTGGCATCAAACTTATAGTCACCTCGGAATGTAAATAAAAGTTAAAAAAGAATTTAAGACAGGAAATCAACAAGGTCCCTCACAATGAGAAGAATATAGTCATATATCATAGCCCATATGTAATAAATTTCAATGTATTGTTGCATGGATTCTATCAGTTCTTCATGTAGACTTAGGCAAAGATTGTGAATTCAAATCTGGCTTGCGTTCTCTTAATTTAACCCAATACATTTACCCGTGTTGCTCCTGAAGAGGATCTTCTAACCATCCTCAATCCGTCCCTATAGTCATTTTTATCCTGCCAAAGCGTATATGCATGTCTTCCAGAATTAGTTATGCCTTTATTGAGTGAGATTTAAACCACCTTCCTGAAATCTGTAGGATAATGCGTATTTGCAGAAATATGCTTTGAAATACATGGCGTTAACTAATTTTATCTGTAGTCATTTTACCCGCGTTCCAAAATCTTGAGGGATTGTACTTCTAGAGTAATTATCGTCAATTCTTCCCAAACGATGTAAATTAAGACACCTATATCCATGTGCATTACTAGAGCCTAATTATGCATTATTCCTTCTAAGATTCATAACTACAAAACAGCACATTGTTTTGACATTAAAATTTATAAGGTTAAAAAACAACTAGGTAAGTCGATTCAAGCTTTGTCAATTTAGCGTGACTTCTAACCAAAGAACACTGTTCATCTCAACTGGCACACCGAATCTGTGACATCTGGAGACAATTACATAACGGTTAGAAAATACTTAAAAATGAGGCTTCCTTGGCTACTATCATGTTCCCATTGATTCAACTGCATTCTTCATAGTTGAAATACTTGCAACATAAATAGATCAGTTTTTTATGTTTGGGCTAATTGTCATTACTTCGTATGAGTCAATTTGAGGTCGATGAAAGTAAAACACACTTTTTCTTCCCTTTTTTTCAAGTCTTTTGAGGTCTTACCAGGCTCTGTTTTGGCATCTTTTTGGAGTGACGCAGATCAATCAATATCGTATCCAAACTAAGGACGCCGAGGGAAATCTGATAGATTTGAAGTCGGCTCAGGTCACAATGACCGTGGGTGAGATTCTTCTGATGATCTACCACGCAATGGCCATCATTGTGCTTGTCAATATGCTCATCGCCATGATGTCAAATTCATTCCAAACGATTCAGGTACTTTGGTTTTGAAACCATGGTTTGGCTTTCAGCAAACATTCAAACTGACTTTAAGCTCACTAGCACCACTCGATTACTGAAAAAAAGCCCACCAGTAAAGTTCCATAGTGAGCGATAAATTTTTCGGGACTGTGGATTGGAGTGTACTAAATCAGCACTAAACTTAAGTCAGCATTCTTTGTGCGTGTTCTACTCTTTGACACACATTTCCTGCTACCTGAACCGCATTGGTACCCTCCTCTAATTAACTGATTTTCACACTAACTGGCCAATCACAACGCTTCTCTGTGATTTTACACCAAATGACAGTATAGACGACCGATTAACTCAAAGGTTTTGGCGGTTAGTAGCTACCTGCGTTGACAGTTACACAATCTGATAACACAGATGGTGGTGAAAAGCAACACGGCCAAATGCATGAAACCTATTTATTCACTGAGCATGTTGTGTGAATGTGTTTATAAACTCATGGTAGATATGGTAAAGAAAGTGGATGTGGGGGTCTACGAAGGGTAAAAGGAAGTCACAGAGGCCTGCAATCGTAACATTAATCCACCTAAGCAAGCTTCTACTAGAAAACTTGTGAAGGGAATGGATAATTAACCTAAATGTTTCAGCTAAAATGTAGTTGAAACGTTTCTATTCTCCATAATAACTCAAGGAAAGAGGCACCCAACTACTAGGCCAAATGCTAATTCTACCATTCTATTTACACCGTTTTTGTCTTTGTTTAAATACAATGACTAAGAAATATATTAGCCTGTATACTTTGATAAGCTTTAAACAAATGAAGTAGCGAAGCATGGATAAACTTAGGTTAGGTCGTTTGCTGGGATTTGTCTAAATGCATCTTTCCTAGTAGTGTGAACAGAACAGGCAACTTTTATGGCATATTACAAGGGAAAGTTTTCGTATAATGTTTTTTACACAGATCTACAATGATATTAGGGGTATAGTAAAAGTAAAATCAAATTAAACTCGAAGTTCATGTGACCAGATTCGTTGTTTCAACCAAGGTTATAATGCTTCAGAGCAGCTTGAGGGTATAATCAATGAAGCAAATCGTAGAATAGACACACTTTCCGCATGCCTTCGCATTTATAAAGCAAGTTAAGATCTGCATGGTTAGCTCAGGTTACGGATCATTCCCGTAGTCTGTTTCAACTAATCCAGATTGGTAACTCAATGCACACATTACAAAATTTGTAGTCCAGATTAGCTTTTCGGATAAATTAAGTCAAGCTATTCTTTTAACAAAAGATTTGATTGTGAAGTTGGTTTCAAAATTATGAAGAGCCAACTTACCTGAATTCCGTTATCAATTAAAAAATGGCCGCAATTAATAGTTTGAACTAGCATATAAACCTTGGAGGATGTCAGAGAAACCGATTGGGTTGAAACTGCCTTTTTACGCAACTGGAACTATGCCATTACTATCCTGCAGAACCAAGCCGACATTGAATGGAAATTTGCGCGAAGTAAACTTTGGCTTGGCTACTTTGACGAGGGCTCTACTCTGCCACCCCCTTTAAACACTATCATCAGCCCAAAATCTATCTGGCGGTTCAGCAAAGGCATCTTTCATTTCCTGACGTGTTCCGCTTCCCGAGTATCATCCACTGAATCGGATGCACTGACATGTATACGACAGCATCCACAAGCACAAGGAAAAACATCTGCAGGGAGGGGCGTATGGGCAAGAAACTCGGTAGAACCATCGATACGTATTTCGAGTTCAAACCCTGACAACAAACCTGGAAGAATTCAGAGGACTGAAGCTGAGGATATCTCAAGCAAGATGGACACTCATGCGGTAAAGTTTCGTAGCACTTTGCAAAATCAGTTGAATTTTATGAGATTTAGATAAGCGTTTAAAGTCCATATGACAGTGTGGGATTGTAGGTGCTAAGTGAATAGAAAAAAACCCTGAGCCTTAAGTTTAGCCTCTTTAACCTGGCTACAGTTCGAAATTACTGACCGATTTCTTGAACAAAAGTGATTTCCCTATTTATTGCTTGTTGAGTCCTGTAATCATGAATATTTGCGTACATTAGTCCCGAATTTACGATGTTTTTTACGAGTAGCATGGACTGGTAGATTGCCTCAAGAATAACACGAACAAGATGCTTTTTTTCGTGTTGGGTGACATCAATAAGGTGAACATTGCTTAACTGCAGCGTCCTGGAAATTAAAGTAATTAAGTTGCATCTCTGTGGCAGGCGTCTTATCCTGCGCATACGACGGTTTCTACTTGGCCAAAGGTATGGAATTGTGTTTGTTTATTTTTACGAGCCTCAATCTGGCCCACACCCCCACAACTCAATTGGAGATATCTGCTTGGAGACTTTTTGCACTACCGTCTGCTTTACATAATAATTTGTGTGTACCAATCGGGTCCAATGACAGATGCAAAGTGAAGAAATTCCTACCGAATGTTGACTTAACGTTTCGATAAATGGACGACAAAAAAGCAAACCTAAACTAAGGATCTTGGGCGAAAAGTGAACTCTGAAAAGTGTTGCATCTTTTTAAACAGCAATGTTAAAATTACAAAATTAATTAGCCCAGTCAAATTGTACATGAAATTTCTCAAATTTTGCGTGGTAACGTCATTTTTTTTTAAACTTATAAATGCTGTTTCAATTTAGATGTCAAAGCAGCGGTCGAAGAATGCAAACACCTATCAAGTAAGAATAAAATATTGATCAATTTTTAAAGCAGTTTTCTTAAAAGTGCAGAAAATTATAATATGCTAGCATATTTCGTTATTGATCGACTTTTCGTAAAGTGTGGACCGATCTGTTCAGCTTTCGAAAATGGATACTAAAATGCGTCCCGCGTGATCTATTTTTTGGCTATTTCAAAATATACAGTTTTAAATTAAACAACATTAGTTTTTAATCCCTTGAGAAAGTGTCTACCACATGTCATAATCCAAGTCCATCACCTCAGTTTGGTGGGGTACTTTTTTGATTATATCCTACATGTGCACTGATATTGAAGTTCACTTTCTTAGCACACTTAACACTTCATGTTGAAACGGAAGAGAAATCCAGGTAGATATGGTTGAATACGAATGTTTCATTATCGAATCGCGATTAATCCACTATCATACTTAAGCAGCAACCAGGAAACTTCTTAGTGCTTTGTTTCTTTTTGTATCTCCTTTGCCTCTACCTCTTCGTAGGCCATAACAAGAATTCTCGTCCGACGATATATTCACGTGTCGAAAAAGACTATGCGCCAAGGCGTGGTCAATGAAGATGACCTTTTGGAAATCAAGCAAGACATTTCAAGCCTTAGGTTAGTTTGATGTCCCGCATGCAAATTTAAGACTGGGATTTAAACACGCTAACTGCTATCGGGTTCTTACATGAGAATTTGTGGACTCATGCATTGCGCTATGGCATCCTTGTTAAAAATGCACGTACATTCGAATTTACCATGCAAATTCCCACAGAATGCTTCGGTATATGGGTGGAAGTGAGACGGGTTATGCAAATTATGGAATTAGAGCTCTCACTTGTGACCACTCTTGTAGTTGCTCTCGACAGGAAAAGCATTTCAATTATCCCACGTGTCCTACTTCGCTTGAATTATTCATTCAACTAAGTTTATTTGCTTTTGAGTGCTAAAATGTAACAGAAGATGTCCCTTTATATTGATTTATGGCAAATGCCAAATCTACTTCTAAAATCCCCTTTACTTAATCGATGGTAGTGAGAACGTCGTCAATTGAAGTGTTGCTGGGACTTATTGCCATTACCTCAAGTATAAGTTTCCAAAAAAAGTCTTGTTCGTCAATGCCACTCTCTGAATTTTATTCGTGCATTCAAATAAAACAGTTTCAACAAGTTTAAGGCACTTTAGTACCTTAAACCTGCTGTTGGGATCTTGTTTGACGAAAAACTCAGAACATTTCCATTTCTGCATTTTTAATTCACCCGAATACACCTCTTCGTCAGAAAGAGGTGACAGAGTAGAACTTTAGTAAAATACCCCACCACCCCCTTTGGGTTACATCAGTTCCTTAAACACTCTGGTATTTTTCATTAGATATGAACTTCGAGAGGATCAACACCGTGGTGCAATACGTTCAAGCAGCTATATGGAGAGTTTAAAGCGCCAAATCCTCTCAGTCCTGATGCCTCACTGTCGGGCAGAATATGATCTTGTGGATAAAACCCAGTCCCCGTGTGTAGACATGGTAGGCTCTAATGAACCCTCAACGTCCGGACAGATCTCCCTCCAGCCTGTAAAAACCCCACCAAGATTGAAGGAACCAGGCGAGGCAGTATCCACCCCCAGTCTCAGGTCCTTAAGAGACCAAATTCAGTCGTTATGTGAAGAGGTAGGTTCCATTAGAGCCTAAACACTGGATCCATAAACAACGACGATGTTGAATGCCCCGGCATAGTTCAATACCATATGCCGGGGCCGCTGCATTGTATTTGCCAGAAAACACCACACTGATAGCCCATTATGTTAAGATCGGAGATGTTTAGGACAAACGTTTACTTGCTATCTCAACCATGTTGGGTCGTTTGTGTGCTTACGTTCACAGTTTATGCTTGACAAAGATGGTTTTTGACCAATCAAATTTCGGTGACCCGGAAAGCGGCGAAATGGAAAGAGGGGGAGGTACACGCACAGCGGGTGTGAGTGCCCGGTCCCGCTAGTTCTACGCGCACGCTGTGAAAAGGGATTGGCGTGTCGGATTAATGTGCGTGAATAAATACGAATCACCACGCCAGATTTGTTGACTTAAAATCGATGTTGTGCATCTGGCATACAGCGTACGTATTAAAATCTGCGCGAAACTTCTGAGGCATCTTAAGCAATCTTGGCAGAGGGAACATTTGGGTTTGTCGTAGGCCTTCCCATAAACCACCGAACGGAACTCTTGGGAAGAATATGAGCTGCTAATTCAGGAGGGAAAATTCTCGCATGCACGAACGAAGAACTATGCAGACACATTCAAGATTTAATTAAGTACATTAGAGCAAGAGTAGACTAAGCCACCACTCCAACCCATATCTTTAATAATTAATTTCTTTGTGATACCAAAAGAAGAGTCTGTTCTTCGGAAAAGCGGGTTCACTGAAAAAATAATGGGCTTTCAACATTAAACATTTAACAACCTGTTAATTAATCTTCGAAGCAATTTACGGTTGGGATGTTCCACTTTAATTAGTTGTAACCTCTGGTTGGAATCGAGCTGGTATAAGTGAAGGTAAAGTATTGTTACTTTGGACTGTCGGCTTAAATTCGTATCAAGTTTTAACCTATTCCATGCAGCGACGCAAATGAGCTAAATTTAAAAAATTCTCAGTTAGTACTTTAATTTGCGTTTATTGCATTATATTTGTATAATGAAGAGAGCTGCTCGTAGTTATTCTTTTTGATTCCTAATGTTTTTAACTACAGTTTCAACTACGTGCCTTGCTAAATACCACCGCAAGATTGTAAGTCAGGGATATTACTTAGTTGATAAGTTGACATATAATGCTAGAGTGGGAACTAGTGGAGCGACGGTAGTGTCTCGCTACGGAGGAGAGCATTTTAGACGTACGCTGCGCGAAAAGACCCACGGAGATCATATCCACATGGTTGACCCTCGTTGTCTTCGAAAGTGAAAGTAGGAAACAGAACACAAAGTGTCAAATGGACGGTATTTTTACGTAAAAAACACATAGCTGACAAATCCGGCAGGAAGCGTCATAACTAGAATTAGACAGGGATATTCGTGTCGCAAGGGCAATTAGTTAACCATTCTTCGGGCTGATAGACACGGCGACATTGCTCTTCTGCTGAATAACCTGTACATCTATCACAAGTCGTTATGGACAGCTATTGGAGGATGAACATAACCAAATGACTAGTATTTAAGTAAGTAATAATATGCCAAAGTGGTCATTTTCAGGGTTCAAAACTCTCACTGAGAGTCGAATGTATATGTTTTCCTTCAGAGTAACTGCTTCGGCATTCTGCAGAAAAACATTGATACAATGGTGAGTGAATACTCATTCCTTCCCTAGGCTGAATGTGTCTTGTGCTCATGACCATCGATAAAGATTTACATTAAAGCGCAACAATATTGGAGATGAAAATGGCTCCCTAACCATCATGACCTTCAGTGCGTTTCATACAAGAAAAATTCAATGTCAAGGATAGAGATGAGAATAAATATCCAATTTATCATTTTAGAAGTCCATGTGCTTGATTTGCGGAAATGCGTGCATAATTTACTCTTCACCAATACAGCCAAGCGTTTAAACGAAGCCCAACGAACGCTATTTTCGAGGTTGTAAGTAGCTATATTCCACTTTACTCTCCTAGGACAGTCAACACATACTCATTTTACAAAAGTCTTTCATTCAGAGCAGCGACAAATTGGAAGCTGTTTTTCAGCAAGAAAGTATTTAACAATGGGCGTCAGTCAGAGCGATGCTAGCTGTGTTTCATCGATGCAATTAACCTAGAACTATTAAGAAACTTAGAATTTCACTTTCTGCATCCCCCTCCCAATCGTGCTAGCGCACCTGGACGTCTTTTCTGTTTGTTTTTACAAGTGAGCATTAACTTTTAGCTTCCAACCAGGGGAAGAGAATTCACTAGTGAAGAAAAACGCTTCTAGCTTGCACAGTCAGTCAGTGCTAAGGTTTTGGAACCTTTCACCGGTTGTACGCAAAGAAAATTTAATTTGCATCCCTTTTCTCACCGCTCTCAGTTCAGTTATTTTACAGTTTATACTGCGACTGCATGATGTGGCCAAATTAAAACAAATACTTGCAGACGTAGACTATAATACAGGTACTATTCACTTTATCGTACGTGAACATTACCACGAAAAAGCCGAGTCACGAGGCATCGACCAACGTTTCCACGAAGGTAGCTTTGCCCCTGGAAGAGACAGACATTAGACGACCAGTCAAATTGCACTATCTGCATTAGTTAACCGGGTGCAAATTAAGCACTAATGGACAGGCTCTACTCCGAAGGGAATACTCCATTCTGGCCAAAAAAACATTGCAAGTACGAAGCGAGCGTTTGTTTACTGGCTTCGGCAGTATGTAGTAAAAGCCTGGATGCATTCACGTCTGGGTTTCGTTTTTACAAGTTCTAAATTATACAAAACACATCGACCTGTGCGGTCAAGTCAGCGGGATTTGTCATCTAGTCATTGGTCACCTTCCTGTCAACCGTTGATATATTTAGACGAAACTAAGTTCTGTCAGTTGTACGGTACTGCTCACACATCCGGAAAAATGAGATTAGATCTAAAAGGCTAATAGACTAGCAGGAAAATGATTGGTTGAGGTCAGAGCCCGATTACGTAACAAGCAATATGGCGGACGTGAATAAGGGGACTTTTTTACTAATTCATTCAAAGTGAAATTGTCTAATTACAAATGACTGAATATTTTCAGAAGAGGGGATTCTTCTAAGTTACTTTAATATACTTTCGTGGAACTTTTATGCAGACTGGAGACGGATCTGATGGCGTGTTTAAATTTTAACCTCTTAGTCCTTCTCTATTTTAATTAACTTTTAGATGTAGCAGGCTTCGTAATTTTTGTTATTAGGCAATAAATTAAATTTCCTAATTTTAGAGAATTGCACATTCAGGAAGTTACTTAGTTGCTCAAATCATTTCGGAAAAGTATTGATCCCTGATCATTTTAATTTAATCTTGTGCCAATTTCTAAAAAGCTCTTTTAAGGGCTATATTAACATTTGGGACCAGGAATTCGGCAAAAACTCAATGTTGAATCCTCTTAAGAGGAAAACAGGTGAAAAGAGTCTAAAATTTAGGCAAATGTGCATGGTATGTCAAGACAACAGAAATGTGATAGATTATGGTTCGTTCCGAGTACGATTATGAAATTTTGCGAAGTCCAATTATTTGTGTACATCGCACAAGTGGAGACATGTTTGGCATTGCTCGTATACTGGCGTAGTCGTAAGCTTACTTGGAAACCCCTTCAGCTTCTTATTCATGGCTTTGCTATTAACACGCAGCGGTGTATCTATACTGCATCTATTTATTTCTAAAATCTGAATTTAGTACCAATAAATTCTTTTAAACATTCAATAAGTTAAATCGTCCCCATGGCAGAATGGGGGCTTATAGTCATTTGATAGAACCAAAAAAGCCTCAGGTTACAATTTTCGAATCTTTAACACCAGACATTCTGCGTGGGAAATTAAGTAGGCGTAAATAGTTCAGGCTACTTAGGAAGCTCATAAGCGCCTTTTAATGCATTTGGAAGTAGAGGTGCTTTGTTCCTTGCATGTGAAAACCCGCAGTCCAGTTGTTAGTAATTTTTAAACCACTGAAATTCAACTATTGCTGTTTTCATCATCACGGGATGATTTCCCATTAGAACAGGCATTCCCAAATTTCCTATGATATCCTGACTACGCGCAGCAACACAAAACGGAAGTGTAAAGGCTCTTATGGACAAACATGTGCAGTGCGTGGAAAATATGCAAACAAATGAGTAGTTGAGGGAGATAGGACGAAGATTAAACTGGTTTGAGTAAGCTTCCATCGATAGGTCTCCGTTGGAATGCCCTTACACCGCCTTAGTCTTAAGTAAGTCTTTATTTTTAAGGGGAAAACTGACTCGTACATAAGCTGCTGTTTATGTTCACGGGGAGTTAATTTTTACGAGGCCAGCTTTAAAAACATGAAATTTTCAGTAACTCAGGGCTTCCCTTGAACCCGATTATATCAATTCAAAGTATCGGCAATAATTTGGTGATCATGGGCGAAAGATCTCGTGTTCATGAACATAAAATCACAGAATTCTCAGGTCTTTAGTCATTTCATTTGTTTTCTAGGTTCGACGGATACCCGCTTCATCCGGTAGTCCTACAACTCAATCCACCTCCGAATTACAGGGTTTAAAAAACGAAATTATTACCGAAGTGAAGGGCGAGTTGCATAGTTTTGCGAAACAACTAATGCAGTTCATGAACCAGTGCCACGTAAGCGGCCCGCCTTCCGAACACACCTCCGATGGGGAGTCGTTTTTGGCACACCGTGGAGCCGCAACCGGTGCCACCGTCTTTACCACACCCCTCTCCCGGGGGACGGAAATTGACCGCGAACGCATCGGCGGTGTCTCAATGACCTGCAGCCCCGCGTCTGGTCTCTCACTTGCAGCACCAAGGCATCCCAACTCAAGGGCATAGCTAACACCTGCTTCGAAGGAGACTATGCAGGCATTACTGCTTACGCCCACACACAGCCACATCTTTCCAGATACACGCACAACAGGTAGGGAAATTACTTGCTACACACTGCCAAGAACAAGTTAACTGTCAATAAAGTCACATTTTGTGAAATAATTATTTTCGGTATGGAACTTTCCGCGTTCACAATTTCTTTAAAAACCAAAGAGACAAAAAATTGAGTAAATTAATCATTGAAAATCTCAATGTGTAAATTTTTATCAATGACTCATTGACCCACTGCGTACAACAATATTGTTTCGCTTGAGTCTAACTCAAAACCTTTTGCCTCTAACCAGACATACGATACTAGTATTAAGATCGTTTCTTTAAACAGCAATAGGACATACTAGGATATTCGAGTATTGACTGCACACAATAAAACTACAAATACACGGATCAGATTAAATGAAATGTTGAAATAAACGTAATAAAGACCTGATGTTATATATCCGTCTTTTTGAAGACATTGACGACAGGATTCCGAAAATCATGAGAACTCACCTGCATTTTGACGCAATGCGGTGGTGCAAAAAGGCATTGAAATAATTCTCACCACTTCCTTGACTTTGATCCAAACCCAACCCAGAAAAAGGTGACCAATCAACGAAAACCGACATTACTCGAGGAAGTCTCAACTTTATTATCAACATTTCAACAGACTCGCATTCCGTTACATATTGTAAATACGGACTTTAACCAGAAAGACGAACACATAGGTCGTTGAGAAGTATCTCCTGTGTATCTGGGCTCTTACCCTTCATATCGAGGGCGATCCGTGACCGCAACTGAGATGCATTTAATTCAGCCAGGTGAAGCAATGCCGCGTCTTGAAGAGCTGGCAGTTCATGCTTGCGACCAAGATAATATGCAAGAACTGCCGAACCACCCTCCATGTACATGTAGAGGAACTTCTCGCATTGCCTAATTACATAAGGTACCTGATACTCCTTGGCCATATCCATGAGGCCCTCTACGTTCTGGGCATCAATTTGGAAATCGGTATTAGGGTAAATGAAGCGGAGGAAATTGTGGACGTCAGCAAAAGTGAATGGAATTGAGATAATCGGACCAACATCACCCGAATTGAGATTAGCCGCATGTCTAAAACGTTCATAAAACCAGGGTGAATTCATGGCCAAGACTTGACGGTGTGCGAAGAGCCGTCTATTGTTAGGATCCTGTGGCACAAGTTGTACATCCGCAAAGTGATCTGGCGCGGTAAAGTTCGGAAGGCGCACGGTTCTTTTTGTCTTGATAGGGTGGCAACAAGCCGTAAACAAGGCAAATTTAAACCAAATTTTGGTTATATTTATGCGAACATCCGCTTTTTTTACGGTTCCAAGTGTGACCCAACGTTCGTTCATAACTTTTGGCGGCAGTGAGGTTGTTAACCAGGAGCTTCCTTCAAACTTATGCTTCACAATCCAATGCATGCCGGCAAATTGAATACAGATTTCGCAATCACCCCGCAAATAGCTTGGAAAGTCGTAAGCAATTCGTGGCTGATATTGGTTAGGGCCAGTTTGGTAAAAAAAAATGACCCACGATAGACCGGGAATTTTCGGGTGACTCACCATAACCTGGGCCGGTTGATCGTTCAGATTTACTTCGCGGGAACACATTAACACTAGGTCATGCTCGTTAAATGTAAAGTCTCCACATCTGGAACCGGTCTCATCGGTCAAAAAATGCATAAGTTGACTTCCTCCTGCATATTTGGAGTCCATGACTTAAAGAAAACTGCGAAGTACAAAATGTTCGTGTGCGTATTTTGGTACGAGTTCGCCCACGATCGATAATTTCAAAAGCAAGACTAGGCACGTGTTCAATGCAGCTGTTCTGCTTAAATGAAACAACACTCACCAAGAGCACATCCCCAACAGTTACACATAAGCGTAAGTTTTGCAAATCCCTTGAATATCTTAACCGTTCCTATTACATTTCGACCAAAAAGGACGAAAAAATGAAAAAAATGAGCACCCAAATGGGTCAATTTAACCAGTATATAATAGGCTACTTTCCGCCCATTTTTTAGAAAACATCAGAAATGCCAACTTGTCGGCTGGAGCAACAAACCTTAACTCGCGTGTCAAACACTATATTTGCTACAAGATCATGACAGCCAAGTTAAGTCTGTTTTACATCATATATTGAGTCATAGATGGCTGACAATCAAGTCATCTATAGATAACTAGGATAAACATAATGTTGATTAGAGCAAATAATCTCTTTCGACGTTTAGTGTGGAAACGCCACACAAGTCCCAAGCTGAAAATCAAGCAAAAAGCAATAACACGTTCGTTTAGCGCTATGCCACGGAAACTGGGAAGTGGCATATTCTACTTTCAGCTCTACTGTTAAAAAAGCATAACCAATCAAAAAATTCAACCACTGTGCTGCAGAGCAGTGTGCTTAGTTGGACATCAATTTGACGCTTGCTGGCCATACCTTTAAGGTTAGCCCCAACAAGCTAAATTAGTTTTAGCACGGCTGTGGTCAAAGGTTACATTACATCAGGTAATAAAATGTTAGAGAATAAACAGTCAGCAGTAACAGTTTATTAAAAAAACAAAACATTACTGCCCATACACTTTAAGATCCGGATTTTGGTTTCAAATGCAAGGAGGGGAATGCCGCACTTTGGCCCTTCAAATTTCAGCTTTGTGTGAAAACGGGCCAGTCTTTCCAAATCCAAGCGGCAGGCCCTCTAGTGTGTAGAGATAGGCGTCTTACGTCTTCGTTGCCAAGCATCGATTTCATCGTTCGCGCTGCCTCAATGAGGTCGTGCTGCCTTACTCCCTGTACAGAATCCCCTGAAATGAGACACCGCTTCCATACATCGTCACTCCAGGACTCTGCAATTAACCAATCAAGAAGAGCTTTGTCTGCTTCGGCAGTTTCAGAGAAGAGTGTATCAACCTGCGTCTCCAGTTGACTGAATGTGATCTTGGTGTCAGGGGACGTCGACACAGTAGTTCGTGGTAGACGCTGTCTAACCTCTTCCGGCGTTAAAAATAACCAACGAGAAATGATGATGTACTTCAACAAGAGGAAGAATTCAGCAAAATCCCAACCTTCCCATGCTTTAAGGCACTCCTAAAATGTTAACAAATGCAACCTAGCTTAAGCTAGTCACGTCATTAGCATCGTGATAGACACGCAAAATGAGTCCACACCAATTCCAGACCGCCATTTTCCCGGTTTATGGAACATGATGCCTCGAATTCGAAGGTCACACATCTACGTTTAGCTTATTTTACACACATATACACATTCACAGAGACTCGTAATACTTAAAGGTCAGTTCTCACGCAAAAATTGAGACGTGAACGTGGAAGACTTGCTCCCTTGTCAAGGGGAAGCTTCTACTCACTATGAAATCCCCTTATAATAAAGAAAAGTCAGTGTTGTTAATAAAAATACCGCGTGAAAATGGGCGCGACAGTAAAATGTCTTGACAAAAGTCCCCAAAATAAGCAGTTTGTTAAATTCAGCTCCTAAAAGTCCATAATTTCCTATGCAAGTTGGCTGTGTGAAAATGAACATGTGTGCCTCTAATACGATCTTCGTGAGATAGGAGCGCAAGCAACTCCACCTTTCGGTAAATTTGAGACAAGATCCACTTGGAAGCGAAGATGCCCTGTTTATCAGTACCGTCGACGTTTCTTTGTTACCACATTCACACCCAAATCTTCATGCGAGTTCGTAACAGTATGTTACAGCAGGTCTTACAATGTTACAAAATAGTGCCAGTATATGTGTTTGTGTAAAGCAGCTACATCTAGATGCGTGGGCTTCGAATCAGAAGCTTCACTTCCCAGAAACTGAAAGGGTGGAGGGCTCGAATTGGCGTGGAATTACGTTGAGTGAATTTCAGCCTAAGTTATAATTTGAAGACACATTACGTGTCGAAATTTAGCTCTAACACGAAGGATAAGACAAGCATTACCTGAAACCTGCACAAAACCATACTCCATCACAGTAGATAACATGGCATTTTACGTTAACTAACTTGACAGGCCTCATCCCAACCTGGAGTCGATTGTACATCAGCACACGACCTCTTCACCTCCTTTAGTTGGGACTGAAGGTGCTGCCAAACAAGCCCGATATTGCAAGCGTTTAGCCAATTGTTGTTTATCGAGACACAGTCTGTCTAAATAAAATACAAAATGTATAATCAGATTAATTTGGGTGGAAGTGGACTACGGAGACGGATGAGCTAGTGAGGCTACGAGGGTCTCGATATTTCTGATACAATCGGAGCTTTCGTGGGTAGGCTAGTCTAAAACCCTAACCATACGTGTTTCTTTACACGGTTAGCACAAGAGAAACTACAAATAACCATTAAAACCAACCTTCAAAGACTTCTGACTACTTATTTACAGGTAAAATACACAACTGATTACAAAATAATGTTCAGGGAACGTGCCAGGAAACTGCGCAAAATAAATCTCATGGATTTCTCTCAAAGAAATTGCTTGAACGTCAAATGGAATGGGCGATTACACACTTTACGGCGTTGCAGGACACGCGTAATGCGTGTTTCTGAGCTAAGCTATCCATAAACACCCTACTACAGCATGCAAATTTTAAACAAATCAGTCAATAGGTGCTCCAAAGCTATTGGTGGATTACTTGCCATATTTACAACTTGGTGGTACCACCCAGAAGGGACGAAAGATATCTCTCCAGGCTGCTGATCAAATACATAGCACCGGGGGAGGTCAGAATGCTTTTCACCTGGGCTGGCGAGGGTCTGATCACGGAGGTCAGGAAGGGGGGAGCCACAGCTGAATCCTTTTAACTTTTTTTCCTCACCTAAAACAGAAAGGGAGGGATGAATAAAATATTCACACAGTAATTGTGAAAATTATTGAAGTACATTCTGCCGAATAAATCAAATCATGTGGAGTCCCCAATAATTAGTTAAGTTAGATTCCTGCAGCTTGGAGGTTAAAGATCACGCTTCACTTGTAGGCCAAATCAGAAAATGCCCATTTTTGGATTCACCGTATACGGTAAGCGGGGGAGCAATGAATGTGCAGACTTTAGAGCCACTGGCGTACAAAAACTTTCAAACGCGGGTTACAAAGTGCTAATTTTACAAAAGACCCAAATGAAGGTAATTTCAATCGGAAGACAAACTCCGACAACTAATACAGCATACTTATTTGTGCTAAACAGGGACTAGAACTTTGTAGACATCAGAAGGTTAATACCGGTTGGGAACAGAGCCTTCAAAGTTTAAAATACGATTGTCAACTATACTACCGCTGGCACGAGACCGTTGTACGAAGACAGTGGCTTAGCACTCATCAGGCTTTTATTTGACGTGTTCGCGGCTTTCCTAAGATTTCATTTATGAGTTCCAGGTCCCGATTAGCTCGAGAAATTGAATTGCGGAAAACCGCGAATATTTTTTTGGAAATAGGAACAAGCCGACACCAAAAACACGACTACCTGGAGGCAAAAGCCACCACCGTTTTTTGCCAACGATGTTGGCCGACCAGCTGTAGGAACAATAGACATCACTATGCAGAGGCGTCCAAGTGTGCTTAGGGCCGATGTAGACAAACCTGAAGTCGTCATCGCAATCCATACGAAAATCGGAAAATTCATTTAACCAATCTGACGAGAAATACTCAGGTAGTGTATAAAAATCCTGGAATTTTTTTCGTCTAGAAAGCCCATTGGAGTGCCTAAAGGTGGAATATTACCTGAAGTAATGCCAATCCTTTAAGTAAAGTGAAGATTTGGTGGCTTCGGAATTTAAAGATTTCCAATAGGCAAGATATTGCTCAGCTTTCATTTCTACTACCGGATGTGTTCCGTACTCAAATCGGTGGCAATCTGCCACAGATAACGTGTTACCTAAGGGTCATCAAACGTTATAAAGAGACACCTTTAAATGGAGTTATGATTTCGTCAACGTTAATCGACGAATCTTCGGCCCATTTCAATCTGGCTGGCCATAGACGAGTGTGAATTTCCGTAAAAAGACAGGGAGCATTAGGACATAAGAAGCTAAAGAATAAATTAGTAAAAACCACCATAACTAACTTGAGATAAAAAGAGCAGTAACTAAAACCGCTATCAAGGATAGGAATCGAAGCCGGAATGTCGTGTGGCATCTTTGAAGCATATGCAAATTCAGATCTGAAAACAAAAACCGTTAGCTTGCATTCAGCAATTTAGAAGACATAGAACTCCATGAAGGCGAGTGCATGGCGTTAGAACAGTGAGCAAGGAGTTACGGACACGAGAGTGGGATCGCGTGCTTAATATTTTAAAAAACCTTTACCAGGTGACAATTTGCCACCCAATAAACGGCCCGAATTTGTGCAGTCAAAGTAACAAATGCTAGCCATATCCATACCTAGTTATTGTCCCAAAATAAGTTCCATGGAATTAAACCACTTTACTGTTTGCAAAGCGGCCCCTCTGGGCCGTAGAATTCATTCACTATGACATAAAGTCTAGATTCTAAACTAAGGCTGCACACCAACAATTCTGTGAACTTAGACTAGTAAACCAACTCGTGAATGCACACACGATACGGAGAAACCAAATGACCGCACCTAGAATAACCTTGAAAATAGGGTCGGTGTGCGACTTCAGATAAGTGAAGAGAAAATTTATAGAGCCGCCCCAATCAAATCAGGCATATTTGCAACGTGGTACTGTAATTCTCCTTTACACATGAGCATCACCAAATAAATATATCACAAATTTTCCTGAATTAAGGTAATATTAAAGAAGCAAACTCCTAGCCGTTTTTGATCTGGCACATGAACTAAACCACATGTTATGAACTCAAATGAATTTAAATAAGGTGTATGGTTCCATAACGATACATTTTTATCTTCGTCTCGCATAACAGAACAAGTGTACGTGGCTAAGAGAAAGCGTCATCAAGTCTTATAAATGATAAAGGAAACTAGAGTAGAGAGACTAGTACATGTTAATAACAACAAAAATTTTAACAGGGTACCTTGAATCAGCGGAAAGTGATGGTTAGCCTGGGTTCATAGTACTTCACTAAATCTATATAACAAGCTTGATGTGGCACTACGCGAAAACCTAATGGCATCCGACTATTTCTTCGACTATAATTTGTGGTAAGTAGTGGGCTGGAAGCAGTGTGCAAGAATACACCAACAAGTAACTACAGCTTTTTTCAAAACTCAGACTCGAATATGTAAAACACGCCTAGGTCAAACAAATTGACCGGCACCGAAAAATATTAATTTTTCAAATGACTAATCAATTTGTATTCCAAAGTCATCCATGATTCCAAGTAAAAAAATCAATCAATTTACGATAAAATTCAATGCAAATCAGAAACCCGAATATCAAAAGCAAAAATTCATTAAATATACTATTCCACTCATTTGTGCTGGTACGTCTTATGCAACAAAATGCGAGACATTAATTTCAATAACAAGTTGCAATGAGTACAGGAACTCGCAAAATAAAAAAATTAAACAAGCCTTAATCCCCTTCTTTTATTTCAGAAAAAATAACTTTTGTTAGTGGATATTCCGCCGATATTTGAGGGAAGCAGTCGAGTTTTGCAGACAGACCAACAATTTAGTGGTGATATATGATTTGTCGACAACTGCATACGAATTACCGACGTAACGTCTAACATATACACGTACCCAGTATATGTCGATACACAACTCAACTTTGCATTTTCAGAACAAGTGTAGTGTGGTGTAGTACTGTAGCGTGGATGT